TAGTGATGAACATGACGAACACACTAACAGAGGATCTCTCTCTACGTTGCCAAATAAACTGGATTATGTTGTTGCTGCCTCTGTTGGAAAGGAGCCTACTGTTGTTCCGCATGCAATGCCATCTGAAAATAAACCGCCGTACATTCGACAATATTTGTCAGAAGAGGAAAAAAGGAAATACGAAGCATTTCTTAGAGTGTCCGCCTTGAGACATTTGGAACGCAAGAGGTGGAGGCAGAAGATATCATATTATTGATATTGAATAGGCATAGTTTTTTTTTCTTTTTTTTGTTTCCTGTTATTTAATTAATTTTTTTTTTTCCTCTTCTTTTTGGTTATGCACATCTGGCGACTCTTTTGTTTTGTTTTGCTGATGAGGGCGAGCGAAACGGAATTGTGTTTGCCTGTTTGTTTATCCGTGTGTATGTGTGCTTGGTTTTGCGTCCTTTGCCTACATGGAAGCTCAGTACACGTATTCACACGCGCAAGCAGTTAGCTGCACATATATGTTTATATACGCATGAATGCAAAGATGTATGTATTTTTGTTGCCAAATATAAATTTGAGTCTTGGGGTTCCCTGTAACTTTTTGTTTGGTTGGTTGGTTACTTATCCGTACACGTGCATGTGTGCACATGTATGTCACCCCAATGGGGGTGGGGGTGGGTGGGGGGTAATAGTCATCTTGCTAGTGGTGGTGTTTGTGGGTTAACGGTCTATTTTTGGCGTTTTCCACTGAAGTGTGGTGAACGCTGCAGCGCCTGTCCTCTCGTTCTTGCCCCCGTGCATGTGACTTCGTGCTAGCAATGAAGAATACAGAACACATCAAGTCTCTCATAGGAGAATTGGAGGTGTATGAGCAGGAGCTGAAGGAGAAGGTGCAGCAGAAAGAGACAGAGCTGAAGCAGCTTCTCCAGCGATTTGAGCCCGTCACTACCACTGCCTGTTTCTCCTCTTCGTCCTTTTCGTCGTCGGCTCCGTGGCGGCTTCGCATAGCAGGCCCAGAAACTGGTGAGAAGGCGGGCAATGAGGCGGACGCGACTTTGTCATCTTCATACATTACTGATGAGAGACGGCGCATTCCTCCACTATCTCACTACAGCACAGGACCTCTTGGTAACACCCACAATGAGAAGAGTGATAGACCCCAAAAGAAGGATACATCTGCCTCCATCGATGTTGACGCGGTTTCTTCCATATCACACGCCAGTACATCCTCTGTGGACTCCGCTGATGCACTCACAAAGGCGCAACAGCTTTTGGCTGCGATTGACACGGCAATGGGTGGTAAACCGGCGCGTCGGGTGCGTTTTGCGAGTCGAAGTCCCCAAGTTGTGTCGAGCGTCCTACAGTGTGTGGCCTCTGTAAATCCAGCGAAGGAGACAGAGAAGGGAAAGCCGCGTGGAACCCCGTTGCCGCAGTCCCAGGCCTCCCAGGTTCTTCGAGAAAAGGGTGGTACACGCGTCAACACAGTTGCTGTCCCAATGCGCGGCAACACCATTTCACCTGTGTCTCAAGTTGCCTTGGAATCCAGGGACCACGCGGATTCGCCGAACCGTGCCCTTGCCGATGATGACGACAAGCCATGTTATGTACGACGACGACGACGACAAGAAGAACAGAGAAAGAGGGTACAGAGATGTCAAAGCCAGGCATCGAGTAGTGATGAACTCTATGTTGGAGGAAATATTTCGGCGGCGGTAGAGTTGACGAGGGTTACTTCGACATCAGACTCTGACATGTCATGCCCACTACGTCGGTGCAGGAGCGACAGCAGTCAGTTACGGCAAGTTTTCATTGGCCCTCCCGCTAAGCGTCGACAAAACTCCACTTCTCCTAGTCTCAGCGCTGCTAGGCCTCATCTTGTAAGTGGCACCCAGGTGGAGGGCAGGGGCGCTGGTATAATTCTTGCCTGTGGTCCCACGCTTGTCTTTGACTAACCGCTTTGTGGTGCCCTCTTCACAAATTTTTTTTGTGCCTAGTTAGTATTGTTGTTTGCCTTTTGGGTTATTCTTTTTTTTTTTATGTTTTACCTTTGCGTGCATATGTGAGTGCGTGTGTGTCCAGGGTGATGTGGAGTTCTCTTGATTTTTGATATTATTATTTTTTTTAATTATTATTGCTTTGTATGCTGTGTTGTACGTCAAAGCACCTAATCACGCGATGCTTGGCGGACCTCCCAATCCTTTTGGCTGAAGGAGCTGGGAAAACAGAGACAGTGCCGCCGTCATCGTGCGGCGGATGACAATCACAATGGCGATGACGTGGTTTGACGCATGAGCAAAAGTGAGTTTTGCAGGTGACAATGCGTAGGCATGTTTGCACATATGAGGATGTATGCGTGTGTTTATGTTTTACTCACACTAGTTCTTTTTCGCTTTGTCTGTGAAGTCTTAAAAGAAAGCAAGGAAAATAAGCGTTAACCGAGCAAAGAAACAGCGCCAGAGTGACAAGCGGGAAAACAACTACGGAGAGAGGAGCAGAAGGAATAAAAAGAAGAAGAGGGAGAGGGTTGGAAGCTTGCAGATCATGGCTGAAGAAACCGATGTTGGTATCACCGTTCGCAAGGTAGCAGAGGAATTTCTGAAGCTAAAGACGGAATACGAGCACAAAAACAACTATGCATGCCAGAGCATTCTCGAGAAGATAAAGCGGAAACTCATTTCGCTGCCGACGTTTCTTAACCCCACAGCGCAGAGCCGGACGCGTGCGGAGGAGCTCATGATCACTCGTGAAGTGCTGGAGCACGGTGTCTTAGTGAGTGCGCGTCTCGGAGACCTCGACAGTTTTGAGCTTTACTTTAACCAACTTAATGTGTATTACACTGACATTGCTAGCGCAGAGCTTCCTGAGTCCCCGTTATACCTGCTTATCCTTGGTCTCAACTTGGTGCGCCTGCTGGTTCGCAACCGCATTGCGCAATTTCACTCAGAACTGGAGAAAATACCCAACCAAATTCACGGCACAAACACGTACATTCGTTTCGCTGTTCTCCTTGAACGTTACTTGATGGAGGGAAGCTACAAGAAGCTCCTCAATTCACGTCATCAAGCCCCTTCCAATGAGTATATTCCTATCGTGGGAATGCTGGAATCCACAGTGCGGCAGGAGGTGGCGGAGTGCATTCCCCGCTCCTACAACACACTCTCTATAGACAAGGCACAGAGGATTCTTATGGTGGACTCGGAGGAGGAAGTGAGACAGATTGGTCGGACCCACAATTGGCACCTCAGCGCCGACGGTCGCAGCTTTGTATTCACACGCGAGGAGGATCTAGCTAGGAGGGAAGTTCCATTTGAAGAAATGCTGAAAAATCACTTACATTTTGCGGCTGAGCTGCAACGCATTGTGTAGTCTTCTCCAATAAATGTACCCGTTTGCTCTCTCCTTTTTTTCCGCTATCGTGTGAGCTACCCGCGACCTATGGGAAGGAACCTGGATTTATATATATCTTTTCCTGGATGGAAATGGAGAGATTTCCTCTGTCGTGTGTGAGGAGTGAGGTGGGTTATTTGCATTATTGTGTCTGATTTTTTCTTCTTCTTTCCCTCGTTCGTTGTGCGCACAGCCAAGTTCTCGCTTGGGCACACTACAGGCTGTGAGCTTCACGCATGCATGCACGGGTGAAAATGTACATTGGGAGCGAGGACCAGTCGCGTTGCGGTGCGTCACCAGAACTCTTCCTCGCTGCTACACTTGCACTGTTGATGTTTTTCCTTTGAAAATATTTTTTATTATTTGTTTTTTTTTTTTTTATTGTTGTGTCTCTTGTTTGTGGGCACTTTACGACGAAACCAAAAACAAAAAAAGTAACGGACTGCGTGACACGTGCGTTGTGTCGTACACGTCGCAGGAGGGGAGGCCATGCCACCCTCGACCAAAATGGCTGCGCAAGTAATCATCAAGCGCCCTGATGGTACAGAGACACGCTTTGTGCGTCAGAGGGCACGGAAAGAAATGTCTTGCGTAGACGCAGAGGCTGTTAAGAAGGATGAGGATCGCGAGACCGTCTCTGCCTGTCCACCGTACACGGCGAGTTTTAACGCCCTCTTGAAGGAGTATCGTGAGAAAAACAGTCGTGTGTTCGTGAACGCGGTGCTGGAGCGCATGCATGCAGAGGCGATTCCCCTGAACGTTGTCACGTACAACCTGCTTATGGAGCGTGTTGTCTGCTTTCACGACGACCTTGTATTTAAGCTGTACGACGAGATGAAGGAGGAGGCAATGAAGGAGAACGGTAGTGTGCGGCCAAACCTCACGACATATCAACTTTTATTCCGTGCATGCGAGCGGAAAGGTCAGTACCAGCGTGCCTTTCTTTTCTACAAGCAATTACGAGACCTGATGCACATTGTCCCCGATTCCCCCACGTATGATACGCTTCTTGGCTTCTGTGCTGCTGTGCGTGATGTGGCGCAGGCCTCGTATTTTATGGAGGAAATGAAAAAACATGGCGTGACTCCTGACGTCAGCACGTACAATTGCATGATAAGTGTGTTGGTGGACAGTGCCCCTTACAATGAAACACTACACGTATTTATGCAGATGGTTAAGGAAGGGATTCAGCCCACAATTAGAACGTACAACACACTGAGCAAGGCAGCCTACATTCACGGTGACTACGACCGTGCATTTCAATTTTTTGAGGAAATAAAAAAACATGGGATGGTACCCGACGTTGTTACTTACAACACACTACTCTGCCTAGCCGAACAACGCCTAGAGTACGTTATGGGTTATGGCGCTTATAAACATGTGCAGCGTACGTTTGAGCAGCGAAAGCGCGGCCGGAGGTCCATTGCAGAGCTTGCACTTACCCTGTTCTCCGAAATGGGCTCCATGAATGTGAGACCGAACACCTTTTCTTTTAATCAACTTATGACTGTTCTACTAAAGTGCGGTGATTATCGAGTGTTTGAGATCTACCGAACCATGCAAGAGCGGTACAATGAGGCAAAGGACGAAATTGAGTTGCAGCTCAAGCGCCAGGCAAAGAAGAGGCAGTTGGCGATGTCGCAGGCTGTGGGCGACTCAGTAGTTGCACAGAGAGACATGCTTGGTAGCGGCACCATGTCTGTCGGTGAGGCACCGGTGACTCTTCAGGAGATGATGGGTATGGAGGACGTGAGATCGTCTGCACGCATTGCAGCGCGTCAAATTCGACCCAACCTTGATACCTATCGCATCATTCTGCGTGCCTGCCTTGAACTTGGCTTGGCGCCAAAATATGGTCTCTTCTACCACAAGCTACAACATGAAGGCCTTGTGCCTGACCATGGTATAGCAATTCTCATGGAATCGATATGTGAAGCCAATGGAGACAAGGTGTTAGCGCTTCAAATACTTGAAGACGCCAAAAAAAATGGTGTGATGATTGATGTGACCCTGTTTAACGTCTACCTTAATGTCCTCGCCTCACTAGGAGCTGCGGAAATGATAGATATTGTACAAGAGATGCAGCTTGGCGTCAATGCCTTTAATGTACGCCCCGATGTAGAAACATACAATATAATGCTCCGTGGTTATCTTTGCATGCAGAGACACGATGAGGTGGAGAAATTGTTCTCCTCTATGTATTTATCATATTTTCAGGTGACACCTAACGCGGAAACGTATTGCTGTGTACTGCGGGCTTACCGCGAGAAGCGTGACACTGCGGCAGCCACACAATTATTGGCGTCAATGCGGAACCGTAACATTCCCGTTATGATTCAACACTATCATGAATTAATGCGGGTATACTTGGAAGCAGACGACTCACGCGTGGAGGAAGTCTTTTTGTCGCTTAGGAACCCTAAAGAAGAATCACTGCCGAAGGCTGATACTGAGTGCTTCTTCATTGCTTTACAGTACTATTTGCGACATCAAATGTTTGAGAAACTCGAGCGGCTTTTTAAAACCTTAAAGACAGATTCGGACGTGGAGGCGGATGCTGGATGCTATGGTGTCATGCTAGAAATGTTTTTTGCTCAGAAGAGGGTTGCTGACGCCAAAACGCTTTTTGCTGATTTTCGCATGAAATGTGTTCCACCGTCTATCTTGGTATATAATACACTTTTGCGGATCTTTGTATCTCAAGATGATACGACCATGTATGAAGTTTTGGAGGATATGAAAACCAACCACGTAGCACCAACGGCAAATACGTTTGGTATTCTGTTGCAGTGCGCTGAAGGTAGGCGTCTAGTTTCTGTAGCCGTTGATAATAGTCTCTTTTGGGACCCAGCAAGTGCGTTGGCTGGGATCAGCCAGGTTACAGAAGGCAGGTGCTGACCCCATGTACAGTGCAGTGACACATGCATTTGCCTTTCGCCCCCCCCCTCCTTTTTTTTTTTGTTGTGTGTGTGTGTGGAAAAGATGGTGCACTGCCATTTGATTGTGTTGTTGTTGTTTTGCGCCAAGGAGGAAATACTTCTTTTTATTCTTTATTTATTTGTTCTTTTTTTTTTTCTTGCTATCTCGTGTTGCTGTATATTTTATTCTTGTGAAATGCATGTCGGATTTGTTGATGGCATACAAGGGTCGGCGGGTCATAGAGACGTTTGTTCGGTTTGCCTTATTTTATTTTTTTAGAAAACAATGCAGAGACCGATGTCTTCGTTTCGCCGTCGCACGACGGCGAGCAAGGCAGTGCAGACGGAGACCTCGTTTCCGTGGGACTGTGCTGACACTGACCGACACCTCGAGGAGCTGGCCAGCGAACAATATCAGGACCTTTGCAGGTTGCGAGATATGATTCGGGCGGCGATGAAGGAGGTTGCCTGCTCCGTGTACGACGTCGTTGCCTTCAAGGACATTATCTTTAAGATTGAGGACGAGATGCCCTCCAAGCTGCCCGTGACAGATGCGTTGTTACTGTCGTCCAAGTTGTTTCGTCGAACGTCGGCGTTGGGGCGCCTTCTTGGGTGCCTCTTTGCGGTGGTCTTTGCCGAGGAGCACGCGGACGAAAATTTTCACTTCACAGAGATCCGAGTGCTGCGTCGCGAGCTGATGGAAGTCAAGACGCAGTTTGCCGAGGCGGAAAAAGAGCGGGTCCGGTTGCAACGCATGTTGGATGACGTCGGTAAAGCCGCCATGAGTCACAGCCGGGCTGTGAACCTGCTGGAAACTCAAAACGCGGCGCTACAGCTACAAGCAACAGGTTTGGAGGACCAAATGGGGTTGCTTTTTGCGCAGGTTAATAAAGACTTGCATCGCCAGTGCAAAGACGCCTACGAAAAGGTTACGAATGAAATTGATTTGCAAGATCGTATGACTCTCACCAGAGCGACCTTTCGGCAGACGATGGATTCCCTTAGTGATCAGCTACGGCACTCCCGCACACTTATTAACGATGTGAGGGAGCTTGTCGTGAGCTGCGCGCATACTGGCGCTGCCGCAGGTGCGGGTGGGGCGAGGGGCGTGGATGTGCAGATATCCAAGGAGCCAAGTATTCGCTTCAAACTGAAGCAGGTGGAAAATAACTTTCAACAGCTAGTGGGTCGTTTTTCCTCCGTGAAGGGTGTGGTGGCGGAGGCAGCTCAAGAGCTTATGAATGCGTTACACGAGCGGAAGAATATTCTCTACCTCTCTTTGCAACATATTCGACTATACGACATACAAAACATGAAGATGCGTCGGAGTAAAGCCATTATTGTGGCAATTAAGCAGAGCATGGAGGAACTTCTTAAGCGAATTTCCGTAACGTTTCCTGCAGGGGCTGTTACCTTTGTTGACCGTATTGGTCGTATTTCAACGCAGCAATTTCAGGTGGGGCAGACCTTGGCGACACTCCGTCAACAACGAGCGTTGGACCAAGTGGGTGAGGAATCAGTGCCAAATAGTGCGCATTCCACGGCGTTTGCTTCACCAACAGGCTTTCCTGTTGGGATGCATGCGGTAAGCGAGGATCAAACAAGTGTTTCCACGTCACCTACTGCTCCCTATTCTTACGATACAACTGATACCAGTAAATTACCCTTTCCGACGGTGTATAGTGTCGTCGATCTCATCAAGCAGGCAGAGCGGTCCATGGAAAGTCTGAACCGTGTCCTCAACTTTGAGAATGAAATTAACGCCTTTCTTAAGACGCTCACCTTGTCGCTCTCCACGACACCGCGGAGTGTGGATGAGACCCTGCGCGACTTGCAAACGGAGGATGATATGGTGGATAGGGCGCTGCTTCCTACTGGCAGTCTCCCCCCACAACGTGAGGCCGCGGTCGACACAACAGCGCGGGGGGTGGAGCGCGAACCCGAGTCTGGGATGAGCCACCCGTCATTATTTTCAGCATCCGCTATTGGCGATATGAGGACCCCGGCTGACACTAAGCAGCAGCGAGCACAGAAGGATGAACAGGCGCCGCAGATCAAGAAGTTGCAGGAACAGTTGGACAGTCTGCAGCCGGAGTTTGCGGCTAAAATAAGTTTCCTGCGACAGGTGTATGAGGCTCGCATATGTGACTTGGAGGTTAAGGAGGCTAATTACCAGCGCAGGATTAACGCCGTTATGACGTCGAAAGAAGGCAAAGAACAGAAGGAAATCAAAAACCTTAACATTCGTCAGGATCGTACTTCACCGGTTCAGCGTGCACCAGAAACCACCATCGACAGCCGCCACAAAAAGGAAGACAAGGAGCAGCTTTTACAACAACGTTCGGAGTGGCAGCAGACGAAACCGGTGTTACAGGCAAACAAGAAGTCGCGGGATGCCACATTAAACGAACTCACTAAAATGTTAAAGGGGGGTCGTTGATGTACGACACACCACTGCGTAAATTTCAATGTCCTTCACGGAATTGGTATTTATTTCCTACGTTAAGTGTTTTACTGGTGTCTTTCGTTTTTTTGAGGTATTCTTGTTTGTTACATGCTCTGTTTGTTTGTTTTTTAGTGTATATAAAGAAATGTAGATAGTGGCTGCGGAAGCTCTTTTTTGTTTATTTTGCTTTCGTGTGTATGTGTACGCGTGTGAGTGCTGTGGGTACGATGTGGGGGACTTGCGGGATCCACCCCGCCCCTCCTTTTTTTTGTATTTTCATGGACGTGCATACAAACACAAAAGCATTTAAAAACAAAAAAAGAGCAGAAAATTTTCTTGTCTGAAAGTTTGCTTTCATGGACTATGTACTCTCTCTCTCTCTCTCACTCTCTCTTTAGTCGTTGTTGTTATAGTTTTTTTTTTTTTTTTTTTTTTATGAAGATGTTGACTGGGCGTGTGAAGTGCGTAGCATGAGGCCTGAACGCCCTCCTTTACTCGAGGTGTACAGTCACCGTACACCACCTGTAGTGTATACATAAATTTCTACACATTCTTGTAGTGTACATACATCTCTTCTTTCGGCTGGCATAATGGTGGTGCAGGCTTTCTCTTTATTATAATTCCTATTTCTTTTCTCGTGGTTCTCGAGTAGAGCACACGTGGCCGTGTCCATCTGCAGAACAGTGGTCATCACACGAAGTGGGAACGAAGGGATCAAGAGGGTGCGTGGCATTTCATCAAGTAAGTAATGGCTCAGTCGGCGGAGGACAAAAAGGCGTTTTCGGCTATCATAGCACGTGACAGTGAATGCAAGGCTTGCTTTGAATGCGGCGCGCCAAATCCACAGTGGTGTGATGTAAACCATGGTATTTTTATTTGCCTTGACTGTAGTGGCATACACAGGGGTCTCGGTGTCCATCTCTCATTTGTGCGGAGCTCCACAATGGACGGCTGGAGTAACTGGCGGCCAGAGAAATTGCGGCAGATGCAGTTGGGTGGTAATCGTCGTGCCCGAGAATACTTTGAACGGAACAGTGTTCCTCGTGCCCCGATTGAAGCACGTTATACATCTCTGGGTGCACTGCGGTATTCTGCCATGCTAGAAGCCGAGGCTCTCGGCGATCGGTTTGATGAGAAATCATGGAGTCCACCGGAATGGCACGAGCGCCTAACACAGCAGGGCACGACGGGACCAGGCACCATGCCGCCGCAAGCTCCGCAGCAACATCACCCCTTCAGTGGCATGGGGTCTGATGGAAGGCAGTGGAGTGATAATAGTGGCGCCGGTGGCAGGGATTGGTACAACTCGCTGGCCGGTGGGTGGGCAAAGCTCTCACAGAAGGCTACAGAGATTGCAGGAACCGCGGGCACCCAGGCGCGTACCCTCATGCAAGAGACGGATTTGGGCGATGTGAAGACAAAATTGTCCTCTGGGTGGTGCACAATGTCAGGCTATGCAAACCAGCTGTCCACCAAAATTACGAAAATTGCGGTGGGTGAGGCCGATGATGGTCTGGCCGGACTGACACTCAAAGCGAAACGGGCAGGGCAAGAGGGTCAGAATACCACTTCTTCAACACGTGGAATATATGAGCATGATATACAGCACCCTGTAGAACTGATAGGTTCAGATACTACTTCTGCGTTACAGAAAATTCGAACTCGTCAAGGGGCGAAGCAGCAGTAATAAAAGAATATCTGGACGAATTATGCTTTATATTGTATCTCCTAATTATTGTTGTGGTGACCGTGATGGTAATGATAACTCACTTTCGACGGCTACGGTGTTGAGAATAAACAAAGCAATTCCAGTATAGCAGAGGGTGGAAGGGTTGGAAGACATCATGTAACTCTGCAAAGCAGAGGGTGCTGTTTTGGGTATTGCCGGGAAATTTAAACTACATCTGATGTAGTTCCTGACACGAAGTGTGGAACAAGAAACAAAATAAGGATGTTATACTCCTGGGGGTGTTGGCACGGTTCCTAGTACATGTGTCTTTTGGCGTGTATGCCAAGGGAGATGTGCAAATTTTCATGTTGGAAAGGTGCAGCTGATAAACCTCTGCTAGCTAATGTGACCCTGACGCGATTTGTTTGCTGATGATAAATGACGTTTGATTGCATGGGCTAAAAAAGAAAGAAAAAATGCCTTTTGTTTCTTGTCTTTTTCTCATATTTTGTGGTGGGTTCTTCGTTTGCCTTTGGTTTGCCCCGTTATATATATATATATATGAAACGGGGCACCCTTGTGGGATACCTGACACCCCCATCTTGATGTGCCAATCAAAGCCGTTTTTTTTTTTTTTTTGTCTGTGTGTTTTGTTTTTGTCCGTCAAAAATTTATCTTGTTACGTTTTTGTCGTCTTATTCTACAGGTATTTGTATTATTCTTTTTTTTTTTTTTTGTTTATTATTATTTTTGGGTTTGTCTTCTTTGTTTTTGGTGCTCTCGCTCTCTCTCTCTCTCTCTGTTCGTGCCTGGGTTGGGCCCTCTTCGTGCCAAGGAACCGCCGTGGATTGGGTGACTGGAGGTAATGGGGTCCCTCTTTAAGCTGCGAGATCACTGGTACAACAGCTACCGAGGGGAGGAGTTTAGTCACACGTCGGTGATAACGCTTGGGAACGCAGACAACGACCCCGATGGTGAGAATGGAATCATATTTGGGTCCTTCTCCGGGACACTGCGAGTGCTGCGGCCGACAAAGAAGGGCGCGATGCAACCGGAAGACACTCTTCTAGAAAAGGAGTTTGGAGCGCCTATTCTACAGCTCGCGTGTCGGCCTTTGGAACCTGTCACTGGTGGTCAAGCAAGAAACTTGATAGCAGTTTTGTTTCCGAACCAGTTAGTGTTGGCCCGCCTGTTTTGCGAGCGGAACACGGAGACAAGAGGCGACACCACCAGCACTTTTCTCAGTACATTGTATCGGCTTACGGTTTGCTATGAAGCACGTCTGGAGAGCACCGCGTATAATTTCACATGCGGCACGTTTGGCCATGCAGCCCATGAAATGGTATGCGTTCAGTCCATGGACGGACGACTCACCATTGTGAATCACAAGTCGATTGTGTTTCAGTGTTTTCTTCCAAAATCAGATTTTTTACTGCCGGGGTGTTTCGCGTACTGTCCGCAGCGAGATTACTTCCTGACAAACAACTCAGCTATGAACCTCCTATGTTACTCCTTTGCTACCCTCACCAGCAATCGGGTGCGTCTAGAGCCACACACGAGCACCGATAAGAACGACGTTGCAAACCCTTGTGGAGACGCTATTTGCCCCTCGTGGACGTTTCCGCTGGGGGAGGATGCTGTAGGGATTGAGGTTTGTCGCCACACCCGTGGACTGAGTGCGGAGGATGCCGATATCGTGGTGTTGTGCCATTACACCTTGTTTGTTTTACGCCTTAGCGGGGAGATGCGCTTTTCGAGGCGTCTGGATGTGGAGACGCTGTGTCTTACCTCGTATCCTGTTCCTGGCGCTGACGCCTGCAATCTTCTTATTGGCACAGTGAAGGGCTCCGTAAACGTTTACTCTGACACCTCGCTTGACTGGAGCGCCAAAATGACCACGGGTGCCCCTCAGTGTCTTGTCGTTGGGGAACTTCTTAAAACAAAAGGAATGATTGTGGCACTTAGCACCGACGGCACAATGGCCGTCAACTATCTAGGAACCGACCCTGAGGAAGATCCCATTCAGCCGCTAGAAAGCAAGGCGTCGGATTACGCTGAAATGGAGCGTGAACTGCGACGCACGCTGCATGCGATCAAGCAGACCATTGGTGGCGATAAATCATCAGTAGAGGAGAAGGCCACAGTGGAAGGATCCCTGCGAGTTGAGTGGGAGGCTCCACCAAGCGACGTTGTGGATAGGGAAGGCGCGATTACGGTGTCTCTAGTTTTTTCCAACACACGCGTCACGGAGCCTGTGGGAGAGGTGACAATTGCAGTGCATGTCGTGGAGCCTGTCCATGTTGATGCTCCCCAACGTACGTTGGAGAATGTTCCAGCAGGTCAGGTGGTGCGCGTTCCTTTCCGTTTCGATGCACAAAACAATGCCGACATGATTATGCCTTCGTCGCTTGAAGCACGTGCAGTTGTGATGTATGCATCCAGGAATAACATAATATGTACAGCGAGCGCCACAGTACATCTTCCTTTAGCCCTTGTGGCCCGCCCTGTTCCTCCCGTGAGAAGTGTGCATTTTGTCATGCAACTCAACACCAATAAAGACGTTCCTCCTTCCTTATTTGACCTTTTTCCAGAGATGTCATACTCCGTGGATATTACTCCAAACTTACTGTCAGTTGAATATGTAAATGGGGCAGATGCAACGCTTTTAGTTTCTAAAAATGTTTGCCGGTTTCGTTTACACGCGTCAACCATGGAAGCGCTTTGGATTCTTGCCGATGAGCTTCAAAGACGACTTTGTGCGCATTATGGCTCCGCGGTACAATTCACTGTGCCGGATCCACTTCCATTAGAGGGGTATTATAGTGTCATTGATACCCACCTTGCCGTGAGGAAGGAACTGATAGAGGCACAAGAGGCATTAACACGTGCCGCACAAATGTTCCGCGCTGTACAAAAACGTTTACTCTTCCTCTTCCGGGAACCTAATCCTGCACCAGCGGGGATGATGGAAGTGCTACTTGAAGAGAGCTATGCAAACCTACAGAAGTGCGCAGACGGTGTAGGTAGGGCCACACCAAGACTTAAACAGGCGGCGGCGATGCTGTCTTCTTGTTCCAGGCTTATTGTTATGCAGCTGCTTATCAAGTGTCAAGAGACGCTTAAGGATCCCAAAATGAAAGACATTTTAGTGTCTATTTTCACTTGTGCCATTGACGACGATGGTGGTGTTAGTTGGGAAGAACTAACAGACAAAACCCTGGGTCATATTCTCCAGTCTTCCGAGGGAGAAGGCCTTGCTGCTACGGAAATAGGAGGCGCAGCTACTTCGCATGATACCATATGCGGCAAACCTGACGGCGATCGCCTAAAGAAACGTATTTCTGCATTGTTTGATCGTCTTCTTGGCGGGAAGCAGGTATCAATCTTTTTGTAGGGCTCACGGAAAGGGATGTCTGGTGTGCGTGACTTTGGCCTCGCTTTCTTGTTGTGACCGTCGTTGGTTTGGATTTAATACCAGCGCAAAAAGCATATAACTAGCGTTTATTGTTATTATTATTATTTGCACATGGCTTCACACATGACTTCATGATATTATTATTTTTTTCTCTTTGTTTTATTTGTTGCTTGTTTTTATGCCCCTTTTCCCCCGTTTCTTTATATCTCTTTCTCTTTCTTTATTTTGGGATGTGTTACTGCTTTTGATGTGTTTTCATTAGCTGCCGGTTTCTGCAGCCATGATAAGTGACGCGCCAACGGGGCCACCAGGATCGACCGTTGCCGCTGTGACAGGGAAAAAAAAGAAGCATGCTGGAAGGGGGGGCTGCGTTCAGCGCGGTGGTGTGACGCCAACGAGGGCCCGGCAAATGCCTGTTGAGAGCCTGAATCTGGAGGCTGTGTATTGGTCGCTTGTGGCTTCTCCCTCTGCGGCTTTTCAAAAGCCCCCCTTTGCCATGACCTTTAGCCAGCCGCCGTGTGCAAGGGGGGTTTTGAATAATAGTAATTACTGTTTTATGAACGCGACGGCGCAAACCTTAGCTTTTGTCCCACCATTTGCGCAGCTAGCCGTATCTGCAGCCATGGAGACAGAATTATGTCCAACACTTGCCGCCCTGGGGACGTGGATACTCTCGTACTGGTCTAGACCTCCCATGCAATCGATTCCGCCGCTCCATCTTCCCAATTTAACACGTGGACAAGCGTCTTTTTTTGCTGCACCTTCTCACGTGAAGAAGATGGATGGCTCATCACAGGAAGATGCGACGGAGTTCATGCATCACATGCTGGAGGTGATTCAGTCAGAGTTGTGCGCATTAGAAGAAAGATACAGTGGTTCGTCCGCTGGCGCAAGTCGCGGCCCAACGAATTTGCTTGCGACGAATGCAGAAACGAAGGGTTGGACATTTGTGAAGGGTAAGGAGCGGCTTTCTGTACGAGAGCACCGCGACGAGACTCGCTCAGTTTTGTTAGATGCCGTCTTCGGTGGTGCGGTCGAGAATCATCTGAAGGGCAAAAGCAAACTGAAGCATCACGCCTCTGTTCTAGTCGAGGGTTTTTTTCTGCTTCAAGTGGATGTTGGATTTAGTGCGGAATGTAGTCTTGAAATGGCCCTTGAGCGGACACTACAGAGTGAACGTGTTTACGACAGTGCCCGTGAAAAGGATCTGTTGAAGACAGTTAAGCTGCTACGGTTGCCCAAGGTGCTGCTTCTGCAGTTGCAGCGGTGGGCTGTGACGGCTGAGGGTGAGCTTGTCAAGCTTGACAACGTGGTTCGCTTCTCCAAGACTTTAGTGCTTCCTAAATCGACGTGCGCAGATGCGACATTAACTAATACCGCGAGGACGTATGAACTGGTTGCCTTTATTGCTCACCGTGGGAGTGTCATTGAGCGCGGGCACTACGTTGCATATCTTGCCAATGCATGTTTGCCAGTTTCTGCAGTGGCGCAGGGCAAAGCCTTGCTGACATTTTGCAATGACGCAAAAGTGCAGCTTGTTCCCCTGCAGGAGGCTGTGGAGAGTGAGGCAGTGTATTTGCTTGTTTATCAGCGCAAGACGTAATCCATGAGCCCAGGCATCAGGACATCTACATGAGATGTTATTTAAAACCATTTCCGCATGAGTTGTGACTATCCCGTTCCTGATATACTTGCACACATTAGTGTTTGGTTGTATCTATTGCAGACAGATCTGGAGAAGGAAACCAAAACAAGGTGAGTCAATTGTATGTGTCATGTTGTGTTTTGTTTTACTCCTCAACTTTCCCTCTGCTGCCAACTATTATTATTATTATTATTATTGTTTTTATACTTTCTTTGTTGTATCTACTCTGCGTTTGTGTTTGTATCTCATTATGTTTTTTTTATTTCTCCTCCTGTTTTTGTTTTCCTTAATGTTATTGTTTTTTCCGTTTTGTTTGTTTCTTAACTGTTGCCTACGGACGCAATGATGAACGCCTCCGTTTACAGCTCGGGGTGAGGCATGCTCCACGCGAAGTTGGAGGAAAGGAATGCAGAGTTTCTCCGTGTGATGTACGAGGAGGACGACCCTCTTCCGTTTCTGTTTGTGCGTGCACAATTTCTGACGCTTGCTCGCGACACCCCTTTTTCTTGCCGCGTGTCGGTGGAATGTGGGCTGAACACCAGAAAAGCTCCGTGACACACGGAAGTACCGAGAGAAGAAGAAGAAGTTGGATGGGGTGAAGTTGCACCCCAGCCCTGTCTCTATGCGTGGTACGATGAGCGGGATGCTTTTGCCCAACTGGGACAACACACACGCCTGGAGACAGAGAAGGACGATACAAATGAGTGTTTGCTGGAGTGCGCCGATCCGTTTGCAGAACACAAGCTAAAGCTGTCCCTCCCCTGAGGGCAAATTGCGCTATGGAGTAGAGAGCGTGGAAAAAAAAAACCGCGAGAGGTAGGAAAAGCAAAACATAATATTTGCCGTTTACGGTTTTGTGGGCATATATATATATATATATATTTATGTATATATGTGGAGGAGACCTCTTCATTTTATTTACTTTTACCGCCATCTGTTGGATGGCGCGCCTGTTGGAAACTTCACGTGCATACTGAGTGGCGTGTGTAACTCTCCGTTTTTACTGTAGCAGTGTTGTTTTGCTGCTCTGCAGACGGCGGCGACGGTCACCCCATAAGAAAGTTGTCAATAACAACAAAAAACTAACATGTTTTATTATTGTTGTTTGTTTTTTTTTTTTTGGTATGAGGAGCTCTGACTGGGTGGGGGGTGTACGGTTATTATTTATCACTATTTCATTGTGGGCTTCAGTGGTCCCTTTATTTTATGTGGAGAGAGTTCTCTCTCACTCTCTCTTCCTTTTTTTTAAAATGGGGCCTTAACCGGTCTGCGGGGCTATTCCGTATGTCGTGTTCTCAGACGAAACCAGCCATCATCCCACACAGAGGCTTATTGTATTATGGTATGGTCACCACTATTACCATTACTACTTGGAATGTATATGGTTCTCTCCCTTTTTCTCATGCGTGCATGCACATCCTCATGAAAGCCAATGCCATCGATTGATAGCATTCCGGTGTCCATCCCAGAGATGGACACCTTGGACGAAGTGAGAGAGGCTGCCGTGACAGCACTACTTGAGACTATCCGCAACCACTACGGCGGCACCTACCCGCCTCAGTTTATGAAGTGTCAAAATGATGCAGATAGACGCATCCTGGCGTATAAATATCTTAGGGCTTGCGATTGGAGATCTAAGGATGCAATGTGTATGGTCACAACAACCATGAAATTTAGGGAGCAAAACAATGCCGATTCTTTGACCTTATTTCCTTGTGTCTTTTCTATCCGAGGCTTTGATCAAGAGGACTTGTGCCACACCCTAAACGAGCCCTACACTGGACCGGATAAGCAATTCGAACTTTTTTCTCTCGTTGCAGCCCCCTACTACTCGGCAGGCTACCATTACTGGGACAAGGAGGGTCACCCCATCTTGTACGACTTTTCCGGTCGCTGCAACGTCAAGGAACTCTTGAAAGCGTATGCGTCAATAACCCCGGTGGGAAAGCAGGAAAAAGACATCATTTTGCAGTATCATCTTTACACAAATCTCATACAGGAACGCCTGGTGAGATACGCAGATGTGAAGAGCGTAGAGAGAGGGTGTCGCCGTGTTATTGGTGTAACTGTGATTATGGACACGGAGGGGCTTCATTTGAAGATGTTTGGCTCGCGTATTGTGGATATCGTGCGCGCCATTTTCAATATGGATCAAGCATACTTCCCTGAGACCTTACATCGCCTTTTAGTGATTAACTGCCCTAGTGTTGTCATGCATGCCTTTGGACTGCTTCGAGGCTCGCTTCATAGGAACACCCAACGGAAGTTCGTCTTTTGTAGCAAGGCAAACTCTGTGGCTGTACTGAAGAAAATTATTGATGAGGATAAAATACCAAAGTTTCTGGGTGGTTCCTGTGAATGTGCGGGCGGTTGCGTGCCAGGTATAGATTCGGTGTCCAAGGGGCTTGCCGATGTTTCTGCGTTCATCCCTCGTACGGAGGACATAACCATCTTGGCTGGGAAGCGGTATACGAGTGAGCTTATGCTTCAGCCTGGGGAAGAGGTTCAATGGGAGTTCAAGTGCACGAAATCTAAGGGAGGACACGTGACGGATATTTATTTTCATGCGTCCTTTATGCCAGACGATGAGTTGGAGGTCTCGTCGTGCTCTCTGTCCGACCCGTCGGTGGACCCACGTAGGTCTCCAAAGACTTTTCAAAGGACGTCGGAACGGTCTAAGGTTTTGAGGGTGCTGAGGTCGGAAAGGGTGGAAATGGATAATGGCCGATTTGTTTCCAGCGAGCGTGGGATGTTGAAACTGGTGTGGGATAATCACACATCGTGGGTGCACGGCAAGCATGTGCAACTGCGCATTTCCAGGAGCTGGGGCTGAAGGCTTCTTTTTTGAACAAAATAAACGGGGATGGCCACTGTCCAGCATGGTGTGCTCTCTTCTTTTCATTTGCTTTGCGTGTGTAGCTGTGAGAGAGTGAGTGAATAGGTATGATTCTCCCACAGCCCCTTTTTTTTTGTTTTTGGTTGATTTTGCTGTTTTTTTTTTTTGTTGTTGAATGGGCCAATACCTTTCTTCCACCATGGGCAGATTTGCTAGACAAAGGGAGCAGAGCACTTGCGTCTGTTTATCGTCCACCCACTGGTTATCGTTTTCTTACTTGGTTATTGAAGGAAGAAGATTGTGTGCTTTGTGACGCTGGCAATGAAGAGCATGCCAAAACGCCATAAGTTGTGTAAAAATAACACAGGTATGATCTTTTTCCGTGTGTATTTCGTTCCTTTATAGATTTACTTTTACCCGGTGAAACCGTGGGCCACCTTGTCGTGATGTCAAGGTTAAGTGCCTCGCAAAGAAGAACGCCAAGAGCCAGCAATTACTCTCTTTGACTTCGTGTTGGCTTACAGTGACGGCAGTCTGCCTTCTTTGGGGTGGGTGCCGATGCTCAGATACGCCCAGGAGAAATAAAGTAGTCTCCCTCCCAACCCACAGCTGCAAGTGCTTACGTGTAGCGTCATAACACTGCTGGTAACGAAGGGGAGCGATACTCCTTTATATTGCCAGGAAATGTAGGCTTCTAACGCTACACGTGCGGAGGAGGAACGGTCATGTACGGAAAGAAATGATGCCATTTTATTGTTATCCGTGTCTCTGTGCGTGTGAGAGTCTGTAGTGAGCGCTTTCTTCTTTACTTCTCAGTTGTGTCATTTGATGTGTGCATGATGTAGTCATATCTTACGTGGGCTGTGACTTCTCTTCCATCTTCTAATTCATCTAATCCTTCATCCTGCACATGCAAATTGTGGGTACTTGTATGATAATGGTGCGGCATGTGTCCTGGTAAAGATTGATAAAGGATAACACACTAACAGGGCGTTAGGAAGAAGCCTCTGCATCCTTCTGAGTGCCCTGCAGCGGTAACAACAACAGACGATGAATAGAAGTGCATAATTTTATTTTAAGCAGGTTTGTAGCGCAGGTTATTGACGTGGTTTAGTGCTATTTTTTGTTCCCATAGTTTTACGTAGTGGCTGTGTATTTGGCGGTGTGTGTAGTGTACACATATCACACACGCACTGACCGGGTCACCGTTTTTTTTTTTTTGAATGCCCCATTTATAGATATATACGATATATTCACTTTTTTATGTCTCTAGAAGTGAGAGGGGGGGAGGAACGCATGCGAAAGATGCAGAATACCCCGCACTTCGGCAGGAAAACGTCCCTGAAAAAGAACAACATCAAGGTGGATGTGGATGCCTTGGTGGATGAGGTTCTATGGCGCATAGCTCTTCAGGTCCCTGGGAGCGTTGCTCATGGGTCGCCAACGCAGCAAACGAGGAGCGAGAGTAAAGGTAATGTCCCATGCCTCACAACAGCTGCAGGCGAAAGGACACGCACGTCGTTTTCAGGGCTTCCGCAGTTTGAGTACTGTAGCAGCACGGAGGATCGCTCACTTCTCACCTATAGGTACCTAAAGGCGAATAACTTTAATTTGGAGGATACCGTGGCAATGATTGTTGATGCAAACAAATTCCGAAAGCAGCACAGGTTGGATTCCATCATGATATTTCCCTCCCTCATTCCTTTACGCGGCTTCAACGAGAAGGAAATATGCACTGCGTTGCAGCTCCCGATGGCAACACAAATTCCAAGAGATCCGTGCAGCTCTCAAATCACTTTCGTGAGAGATATTCAGGTGGAGTATCTGAATAATCATTCCATTCTTAAGCCAATCTTGAGTTTAATTAATCGACACTATCCGAATAGCATCCATTACTGGGATAAGGACGGTCATCCAGTCATGTATGGTAGGTTAGGGCATATCAACTTTAAGGAACTCTTTCGTGAGTTAGGGCGCATCTCTCCTCTTCATCAACGCCCAGAAGACCTCATTGTGCTCTTCCATATATACGGTAACGAACTTCTCTGGAAGGTGTTGCAATACTGCGGCTTCAAAAGCAGGCCTCCGGGGAAAACGACAAAGATTGAATGGGATAAATGGAATCAGACAATGACTGTGGTTATGGATTTAAAAGGAGCGCATATCTTTGATTTTCTTCGTGGTCCGTTTCGCAAAACCATTCGTGGGCTGCTCAATTTGGATCAACGTTATTACCCAGAAATTCTGCATAAATTGGTGCTGGTGAACTGTCCCAAGAGCGTTGCCTTTGCTCGTTGGTTTTCAAAATTCCTTATCTCTGGTAAGCGCGGTCTTTGGCAAAAGGTTATGTGCGTTAGTGAGGAAAATACCGCTTCCGTATTAAAGACGCTGATCGATGAGGACAAGATACCTTACTTCTTGGGTGGGAAGTGTAAATGCAAGGAGGGGTGTGTGCCTTTGAACAAAATTTTTGGCAATGGCAGCTTGAACTTCTTTTGTAGTTCGAATGATACACTCCGTGTATTATCGAAGACTGGGAGCGAAGGACGGTTTGGGGAGTCATTTTTTGAGGGTCCTAATGCTGGATCTTGCAGATTGGGCTTTCCAACACCGAAGGAAACCGAAAACGTGGTTGTGATGTCCCGCCGAAAACTCACTCTCACGTATGAAATAAGGGCTTTTGAGGACGTCACGTGGGAGTTTGCGGTGAAGCGTGGCAAAATTGGGTTTCGTGCCGTCTTCGTGGCGTGCTCCGCGGATGGCCACACGCAAGTTTTAATGCCACTCACGACTGTGGCGGAGGCAGCGGACCACTTCTTTCCCAGCACAGCAGGAGAGCTTATATTGACGTGGGACAACACACAATCTTTTTTTACTGCGCGAAAACTTCAACTACGAGTGCACTCTCGAGCTCAAGGAGTAAACACACAAACCTCGGTGAATGTGCCTGGATAACGCATAAAAAGCGAAGAAGGTCCCTCAATGGGTCTTCCTTCCTGAGGGCACAAGGCGTAGGGGAAATGTGTTATGCATACCTTGTGCGTGTGAGGTTCCTATAGCATCTGAGGTGAAATGATATGTTGAATTCCCCCTTCCCTCTGAAAAGAGTTTTTATTTGCCACAAAAGAAGAGTGGAGGTTATCAGTGACCTCGATGTGTGGTCTCTCTCTGCTTTTGGGAAATGGAGAGCGGGATCAAGCGTGAAGACCAGTATTTGTACGAAAATAATAATAATGCGTCTGGTGTATATCGTTATGTTTTCTGTGTGGTTTTCTTCCCCTCCCCTCCCCCCTTTTTTTTTTTTGAATGTGTACGTACATGTGTAGGAAACACTTGCCGTGGAGGACATAAATGCCTGCATATATATACATGTATGTATGTATCGATGTGTAATCTGCCATTCGTTTGACTTTTTTACAATTAATATTTGCTTGTGATTGATCTACTGTGTGTGTGATGTTTTAATATTCTGCACTCCTCCGTTTTTTTTATTATTCTTCTTCTGTGGTCAACACCTGGGGGTGCGTCAACTTCTGAATCCTACGCCTTGTTTTTCCGCTCCTCAAGGATAGGGTCAGGCCGTTTTTTTCTTTGTGCGGAGAGCAACTGCGTGGACGGTTCACGCCTCCTTGGTTACCTCTGTGCGGAAGATTTTTGGTCTGGAAGAAAGTCAGGAGGTGATTGACACCTCATCTACTTGAACGTAAACGATAATTGTGTGTATATATTGATACACAGGAATAAGGATGTTTTACAAAATGGAACTGCATAAAATCATCAAGGTGGAGCCCCACATGTTGGGCCGGACACTTCATCGCCACCTTGCTAGATACCTTCGCAATGCTGTGGAAGGACACCCTCTCCAGATGCCGCTCATAAAAGGGAGCAATGGGGAGTCGGTTCGGGTGGATCAAAGTTCATCTGCCGTCATCATCGCGGTGCTCGATATCCTTAACACGGAGTCATTGGAAGGAAGAGTCTTAGATGATGGTGGGGTGTCATTTCTGCTTCATTACGAGGCCCTTGTTTTCAAGTTGCATCGTGGTGAGGTTGTTGATTTGATGGTGGTTGGCGTGGAACGCGAGGGATGGTGGGGGAGCGTCGTGGGAGTTGGGAAAATGTACATCAGCCGTGGGCAGATGGGGAATGAGTGGGTGTACGAAAGCGATGGGGTGGAAGGCGTTTGGATTACGAAGGATGGATCACGGTCCGTGAAAAGTGGTGAAATTGTGCGTGTGCGTGTGGTTGCCGAGACCCCACAGTCCGAGGGCGTGGTTGCTATAGGTAGCATGATTGGAAAATACCTAGGCACGTTGTAACTTGCTAACGTGAAAGGAAGAACTGCGTTGCGACAAACCAAGTTACATGCCTGGGTATGAATGCAGCTGCTGTGTGTGGGTGGGTGGGGGGAGGGGGGGGAGGTGAGGCGGTTGACGACACTCTCCACCCCCCACCAAGTACCTTTTTTGACTAAAGGATTATGCATACATGCATTTGTTGTTCTCTTGTTGTTGTTGGTGTTATCGGCGTCTTAATGAAGTCAGGCGTACGGTAAGAGTTTTGTGTTAAATGCCAACAAAGTTTCATCTCGGCTGTTTTTATCCTTTGCTTGCTTCGGTTCTTCTTTCTGAGGTGGTCCTTTCATTCTCCTTTTTCCCACGTGCACACAAATAAATACGCACGGAACGAAGACATTGATAAAAACAATAGTGAGTGGGCTGTACATGGCGCAGGAAGAGAGCCGTGTAGCTGGAAATCCACCCGTGGAGAGGAGGCGCTCGTACTACAGCTGGAGCCGCATTGTACTCGGTGTGTCTGCCGTAGTTGTAGTGGCAATTATGTGGCGCAGTGTGTATAAGGCAAATCAGCGCGAGCTCCATATGCGGCGAAAGATGGAGGAGGATAGGCAGTTGTTGTCTGCGCTGGGGGAGGTTCCAGGCAAACGTTTTATCGTTACAGATGTGAACCCTGAAGTGTTACGAAAAAAAGAGCTGCTTAAATGACGTGTTGTTCTCCTTGTTGTTTTTTGGTTTCTGTGTCTCTGAGCCACGTTTGTAATGGATCCATCTGCATGCGTATGCGTGGAAGGAGTGCATACCTCATAGTGCGCAATACAAACTTCTTTTGCTTCCATCTTTTTGTTTGTTTGTTTATTCTTCTTTATATTTTGGTTGCACGTGTAGTCTCCGTGGCCTATATACTCCAGTGGTACATTGTGTACAACTAGTAACTGTAGCAGTAGACGGAGCTTTTGACACCTCTGTCGGTGGGTTTGTTTTTGTTTCTGTGCGGGAAGGTGGAGGAGGCGACAGGCAAGGTTTCTCTTTTCTTGAACAAAGGCAAGCCCCCCACCCCCTCTCTCTTTGTGACGTGTGCCGGCACGGTTCATCGAGTTTCCTGGGCTCCACTCATTCGTACAAAGGACACGGGAGGGCGGCGACATTTTTTGACACTGACACATACACATATATTGGGAGTAAAATAGAAGGAAAGGGGGGGGAAAAAAAAAAGAAACAACTACAAAATTCAGTGAAAAAAGTGTTGCTGCGTGCGAGTGGGAGTGGAAAGCAAACTTATTGCGGCCTCCCACAGGCTCTCTTTTCACCCACACCCCTGAACGATGATGTCCGTAAGGGAGACACTAAACCGTGACGGCAACTCACCTCCGGCATCCTGTTGGACGTACTTTGACGACGAGGACTGTGGAGACGGGGTGCCTCGTCTCAGCAGCGACTGCAGCTCGCATGTTTTGTACGGCAGCGCAATTGGCCACGGTGGCGACCGTGGTTCCCTTGTGTACAACGTTGGGGAAATGAAGAACGTCCCGTTTTCTTTTGGGTACCCGCTGGCGCTTAAGGTATACCCAATCAGTATCACGGAAAATGAAATCGCATTCATCCGGGCCCTTTTTGCAAGCGATTTTGCTGCGTTCAACAATGGCGGGAGTTGTGGGGTTTGCCGTCAAGTGCCGTATTTGGTCCTTCCGTTGGCCATTGTCACGATTGGTGGTGTTGATCGTGGCATTCTCATGCCGAAGCACGAATACAGCCTTAAACAGTTTCTCCTTGCCAGCAGGCCCGTGGTTGAGTTTTTTGGCGATGGAGAAGGTGGAGCGGACTGTGACAGTGACAAGAGATTTGCCAAAAGCTCGCTTTTATCCCATCGTGTGTTTGAGCCAATTCGTGATTGTAGGGTCGTAACCGCTATCGCCTTCCAACTGGTTGTTGCTATTAGCCTTCTCAGTGAGGAACTACCACATGTGAAGGATGGAATAATGTGTCGCGGATTTACCCATAATGATATTCACTTGGAGAATATTTTGTTGGACGGCGACTCTGGCTGCGCCGCACTCTGCGACTTTGAGCTTGTGGGGCACATTTCTAAAGATGGTGAGGAAATCCCACCACCTACTCTTCACCGGCTTCCACCGTACTGCAGGCAATCACCCCATGGTCTCTTCTCTCCCGCAGCTGACACCTGGGCTCTTGGGCTAGTGGTACTTTCGCTGTTGACAGGCGTTGATCCGCTCTTCGATGACGCCAAGCTCATGGACGACTTTGGCGACGGCCCACTTTTGCAGAGTTACACGGAGTCGGATGGGGCGGTGCCTGTGCTTGACTGGGAAGGAAACATCAAGGCACATGTGGAGGGGCTGCTGCTTTCTGACGATCCTACTGGCCAGCGTTTGGCCGACGCAGGACCACTCCTGAAACTTTGCGCAAAATGCCTTGTCAATCGCATCGGAGCCTCTCCGAGCGGCGCCGTGGAGTTGCTGAGACAGCCGCTTTTCAGTAGTCATATAAACTCTCCTCAGGAAGCGGAGTTCATCTTGAAAGTTTGGGCGGAGAGTCACTGTGGCGTTTATCCGCTTAAAGATGCACACGACGACATTGACAGCCCTTGACGTTTAGCCCCAGTGAGATGTGGTCCAACTGAGAAGGAACAAAAAAGGTGGGAGGAGGCAGAAGTGGAGGATGAGGAGGGGGAAACAAGCTGAGGGTGGTTGACATTTGCAAAGGTCTGCGGAATAGCAAAAAAAAAAAAAAAGAACAAACAACAACAACCAGAAGAAATAGGTCTGTATATCCTGCTACAGAAAGAAAGGACCGTGTTAAGGAAGCAACTGCAGCAGAAAAAAACAGAAAACAAGAGGTAATGTGAATTGGGCGAAGGAAAAAAGAAGCTCAATTTGGCAAATGACAATGTGTCTTTTTGTTTCATACTTATCTTACTTTCATTATTTCTGCTGGCGTGGCGGTGGTGATGATAGCTGGGTGTTGTGTGTGTTTGTGCCACGCGGTTGCGGGATTTGATTTTTATTCTGTGAGCAGTATATTTGTCATCACTGCCGTGGTTGCTGTTGTAATGTATGCCGCGTTACTTTTTTGTGCTTTTGTTTTTGCTGTGATGTTATTTGTGCTACCTGAGAGGGGTGCGGTTGACGGTTTCTTGGCCACTTCAGCCTGTTCATGGAAATCCTCTCGTCCGCCTCACCGAATGTGACATGTGGCGGGAGGCGGCGAGAAGGGGCAGTGGTCAACGGTGCGACACCCCAGCGAAGGAAATTATTGAGAGAAATGTGGTGGTGGTGGTGGTGGTGTGTGTGTGTGGTGTGGAGGCGGCAGGGTGGCTAACAAAGTGGAAAGAAACACGTACGAAACTTAGGACATACGTGAATGGAAAGCAGTAGCAGACGACGACAACAGAGGTGTTTGGGGGTTGAGGAACGAACAGAGGACCGTAATGTATGAGTACAACGTCTGTGTGTGTGTGCGTGTGTGCGTAACAAAAGCGAATTTGCTGCGAAACCCAAACAGACGACAACGGCGTCGTATTAGTCGCAGCGCAGCGGGGAATCCGACACATTGATGAGAAGAAGGGAAAAAATAACGAGAAGGATAAAAAGGGGGCCCTGAATAAGAAAGAGGTGGCCGAGAGGTTGTCAACACTCTGAAGGGAGTAACGAAAGGGAAAACCACTGCATCCGGCTTTGTGAGGGAGTCTGAGGGGTACAAGCCCTCACCTCCCACACAGAGAAGGAGGAAAAAAAAAAAAACGAATTTGTATGAAATAAAATTGTGCAGATAGAAAAAAAAAAAAAAATTACTTTTTTTTTTTTAGTTTTAGTGCGCCTTTTGTAGTTTTTTTTTTTTTTTTTGTTTATTGTTGTTGTACATATGACTAGCACTGGTTGTGTGTTTGTGCCCCGTTTCGATCATAACCGTAAGAAGCGGCATCTGTAGGGGAGGGGGGGGAGGTGAATTGACGTGATCGCCATGCTTTTGTAACGCGGCACATCTTTCGACTTTCTTCTTTCCCTCCTCCCCCCTTGTTTCCCTCGTTTTTTTTGTCCCCCCTTTTCTTTTTTTTGGTTGTTGTTTGCGCGACATCTTTCTTGCAATATATCACTGTCGTCACAAGGAACGGGAAGCTGACGCGCGTATATTTATGTATCCATGCAATATATGCGGGGGGTCATGCGCCCCGTCGAGAGGGAGAAACGCTTCAGCATGTTGAGGGAATAAAAGTAATGTTTTCTTCTTCTGGTGGTGCTGAAAGGTATTTCTTCCTCTATGTGTGTTCCCTTGCCTTTTTGTGTGTTTCTCTTTCTGTTTCGTTTGTTTTTTTTCTCTTTTTATGTGCGTGCGTGGTGCCGATGTTGTGTTGTGTGTGCTGCTGTGCTTGCAAGACGTTCCGCCGCTCCTCCCCACCGAAAACCCCTGGAGTTGTCTTGCTCCCCTTAGCCTCAGGTTCACTGCTGTCAGAGGGGTGAGCGTCATAGAGACTGTGGGTGGTGGGCAGAGAGAAATGGGACAGTGGACAAAATAATAAGAAGAAAGAATTGCTGGTGTGGTAAAGCATACGACGTGAAAGACACACAGACACACATACATAAGAAGGTACATAAAGTAGGAGGGAGAGCGAAATCGAGTGAGAGCGAGTGTTTTGGGGCGTGACCTGCGCCTGCAAAGAAAAGAAGAGGAATGAATGCTATGCCTCATCAGCCGTCCAGAGTGTTGTGTTGGTTGTATCAGTAAAATTGTTCCAATACAACTTCTTCACAGGGCACTGGCACCTTTCCCCTCACCGCTGCTGGCCACTGTCGCCACAATAGTGCTTTTCCTTTCCTTTTTTTTTGCGTTTTTTTTTAAAAAAGTTTTAGGGGTCCCTTGACTTTTATGCTGAAGCGCCTGTCACGGACGGTGCCTGCGTTGGGCCCGAAGCTGTCGACGGCGCGTGAAAAGCGGCTTAAAGACCGCGTTGCGGCGCAGTTGGAGATTGAGGCGCAAGTAAAGTCACGAGTTGCATGTTATCCGCATCGTTCCCTCACACGACCTGCATTGCGTGTGGATAAGAATCATTTAAATACCCCGCTTTTTCACTCGCAGCTTTTCAATCTGAAGAAAATGGCGACTGACTTGCGATGTATTTCCTTCAGTGCCCCGAAAGGTCATTGGGATGCCACGGTTGTGCTCATCAAGAGCCAGCCAGACGACAAAACGTTTGAGGTGTGGGTGAGCCCAAGCGTTCCTGGCTACGATGATCGAACCTCCATTGCTCCCATGTACGGAATGTGGGAAAATTGTATTTCTTGTGGGGCGACCACTGCCTGGGTCCTGCGACCACAGTCTATCACATGTAGTGGGTGGGATGAGTATGGAAATGAAAAGACAGACGTGCTGGACGGCATGCGGGCGAGGTGCCTTATGCATGAATTAGATCACCTTCATGGAAAAACAATTATGCAACAGGCAATGGGGCCGGAATTTATCGTTAGCGGTATAGCTATGGGCCAGAGGGATTTGTGGCCACCTAATTTTCCCTCAGCAGAGGCCTATATGACAGCTCCACTCCAGTTTTTTGATTATGTTAAAAATACTCCTATTGTTCCTCCAGGGATGGAGTGGTGGTTTGCACAAAACATGAAGCATCATTTTGAAGATGCCCGCCTAAATCAATGACGTTTAACGTATTTACTGAATTCTGATGATGATGTTACCGCTTGTGATGCCGATGAGGGATAGAATGTTTTGATAAAGAGACTCTGCTAAACCTTTTCCTGCATTGGTTTGGTTTGGTTTTTGTTTTTTCTTTCTCTTTGCTGGATGCAGTGGATGCCCGCTTTGGGCAGCAATGAGGCACCTTTTTTTTGCTTGTTTTTTTTTTTTTTGTTTGTCCACTGATCATTTTCCTACAATGGTGTGGTTGACTTTGTTTCTTTTTTTTTCTTCGGTGTGTGTGTGTGTGTGTGACAGCGGTTGAATTATTCCTCTTTTGTGTCGTTCAATCTGGCAACCGTACTGAAAAAAAAAAGAGAGGCAAACGGCTCTGGTGGAGGAGGGTCCGCGGCCTAGTGGACCGTACGTTTGTGTATGGCATGGCACTGCCTGTGAATACTTTGGCCAAGTACAACACAATTGGCGCGGCCACAACTTTGGGATGGGCGAAAGATGACTACGCCCAGGAGTACATGCAGCGGCTTCAGGTGCGCGCCCATCCCATTCTTTTGGCACATAAGTGGAAGATCAAACATTTGAAAGAGTTTTATCCACGTAGTGCGCGTTTGCTGGGACTTAATGTGAACAAGGGTGATGAGGTGTGCGTCCGTTTTCGTGCTCCAGGTGCGAAGACCACCTTTCTTCCCTTCAGTGAGGTACTTTGCACCTTGTTGCACGAGATCGCACACTGTCGGTATTCCAGACATGACAAGTACTTCTGGGGCCTTTACTCTCAGCTTGTTATGGAGTGTGAACAGTTGGAGGTTGGTATGGTGTCTGGGAACACCGAGGGAACGGCTAGCCGAACATTCCGTTTTACAGGAATCCATCGTTTGGGTGGAAGCGGACCGTTGTTGCGCCCATCATGTTCATTATCACTGCGGCAACTTCTTGCGGATGCTGCAGAGAAACGACTTCAGCAGACGCGTTGGGGAGAACGCGATAGATGTGGCTGCGATGATGTTGCTGCATCAAGTACACTACCGAGTGGGGGCGGTTGGATTTGTCCGCGATGTAGGAATGTTAATGCCTCTACTCTTACGGTGTGTGATTTCTGCTCCGACGCTGTGGACCTCAACGGGGGTGAACAGGGATGGGACTGTGCACGGTGTTCCTTCCATAACTACTGCGCCTTTCAGCGCTGTGAAGCATGCAATTGCACCCGCCTGAATCTACCTAATCTTTCAAAGTTTGCCGTGCAGCATATTAGGCCTTTGACTACTTCGACAACGGACTTGGCTGCGTACACTTTACTGGGTCGCGTAGCGGATCTTCTTGATACTATCCTTCAGGAAAGAGAATGGCAGGTGACCTGTCTCGACGAGTTTTCTCCAACAACACCGTCGGTAATGTCGCATGGGGAATTTACTGAATCAGGGCGTGCCGTAGTGCGAGTGCGTCTTCGGTCACCAAGTAAGGCCTCTGAATTTTTGCCCTTTGTATGCGTCTGCACTGCCGTCCTTCACCAGCTGGCTCACCTCATAGAGCGTCATCACGGAGTTGAGTTTTGTGAGGCTTGGGTGGCATTACTGCATTGCTGCCTGAGGACAGAACAGGCGAGGGGGCCGGATGCAGTGATGTCTAAAGAGAATAAAGAGAGTTTGCTTCAGTTTACGAGTCTCTTAGAGTGCATGATTAAGGATGAAAGAGAAGATAGGAATAGGTCACTAACGACGTCTGCAATGCGTTTTTTATTTGCAGATTGCGGGAATGTTGTAAAACGGGAAAGGTGCCCCGAAGGCAATGATGTGGCAAACGAACGCCGCCAGGATGGTGTTGATTATTCTGGAAGTTGGGCATGCAGTAGGTGCCAGTTTTTTAACCCAGTGGGGGCATTTCTGTACTGTGAGATGTGTGGCACACCTCGCCTATTCCGCATACCGTGTTGGGAGAGGTCAGTGGGTTCCTCGGAGGCGCCTGTCATTATTGACGATGAGGACGATAACGAGAAGGGAAACTTCCCATGCACCAATGATGATGTCATGGTGATTACTTGAGAGCTGTGTTTCTAATTATGTGTTCCCTTTTTATTTTTGTCTGCTGATGGGTGATGCAGATGCGATACATTAGCTAAAGAGGAAAGTGGCTCATTGCGTCCCTGATCACCCACTTTCTGTTTGTTGTACATGTGTCTGTGTCTCCGCTCTTGTTTTTGTTTATTTGTTTTTGTTTTCCTTTTCTGCCCCGTTGTTATGCGTTGGTTGGCGGTAATTCTGATTCCTCCTCTCCTCTCCTCTCCTTTTGTGTACTCCAAACCTCTCTCTCTCTCTCTCTGTCTGTCTTTCTGCATGGGACCCTGCGTTAGTTTATCGTTACACCCAAGGAGGGGGGAGGCGTAATTGCGTCGTAGGGTTTCTCACTTGTCCCAGTGGTGTTGTGGATGGAGATGGACGCTGCGTACGCAAGCCTGTTCGGAACGGAGGGAAGGGCCGCCGTACTCGGATGCGATGAACTCGGGCTTGTGCCGCGGGATTTGCTTCACCGTCCCAAGAAGTCGTTTAAGCAGGTGGGCGACGATAAATGTACGGTGCTTGTTCGGTACACGCTGACGGAGCGTGCGCGGCAGAACAACATACGCAAGGTGTTGGCGATTAAAAATTGTCTCATTGCCGAGGGTAACGTGCAGCAGAAGTGGAGGGAACGTTGCAAGCTCTTTCCTGATGCTCCTGGGGTGCCAAAGATACCAAAAGCTGTGATAAAGAAGGCTCTGGCAGAACTGGACACTGAAACGGAAGGTGATGACAACATCGATGAGTTGGGCCTTGTCAAACCACTTTCACAGTACGGCAGTGCGCAGGAGGCTGCTACGCCGCAACTATCAACCCCCATTGCTAACGGCAGCGATGGAAAGACAAATACCTCTTCGCTGGTGTTGGAAACTGTCCAGTTGACACCCAGGAGGGCGCCAGGAACGGACACTCCTGCGCAGTCTAACTCATTCGCCTCCGCCCCAAAGAGAGGCGGTAGCGCACACAGGTTGTGCTCGCCTATTTTTAGGAAGTTTCGGGCCAAACACTCGACTAAGATGGGCAGCAGGGATAACGTATCCCCCTGTGGTAAGAGTAGCAGAAGCGTTAGTCGTAAGAGTAGCAGAGGTCCTCTGCTGCGGCATCCAAGACCCCCACCGGATCCACCTTTTTTGCCGCCTGTACCATACTCGCATCGTGACACCGCGACACTGCAAGTAGAGTTGGAGGAACTGGACGAGTATCGTCGTTTTCTGCTGCGGTACGCGCACGACAGCTTTTCCATGGCGAAGGAGTACAATGAGTTTACCACTTCCTTGCGGAAAGCCAGTGAAACGAAAAAGGTCACGCAAGGCGCAGCAGTTGGCTCTGCAGAGTTCTCATCAGGTAAGGGTACAAATGGTGCAAATGCAGTCGGGCGTGGAGAGGCTGAGGGGCTTGCTAAGTCGACACCTGCAACAGGCGCCGCGACAGCCCACAATCGGCAACTTGCTGCGTATGTGCGCCTGGCGAAGTTAGAGGTCCAACGAAACAAGTCAAACTACAAGAAATGGAACGGGTTTATGGAGGAAATGGAAGGTGTGCAGCCGGTAGGCACAATTGCGGCAGAGTTGCGTGCTCGGTCAAACGTGGGTGTGTTTCCAGCATTTGAAAATTACGTGCAATTGGTGAAGGAGAGGGCACAACGGCGAGAGAAGGCGCTGTCGCAGTATACGAAGCAACAACAGAAACTCAAGGGCTCCATTGAGTCCAAGGATCGTCACACTACGGAGAATATAGTACAGATAAAGAAGGCACGCAAAAACATATTTATGGAGGCACAGCAGGTTCAAGGCGAGATCAAGAGGCGAAACAGAGAGCACGAAACTCGACGGCGCAGAATGAGGGAGCACCGGGTGCAGGTGGGGTTGTCAAAGAAGGAAATGCTGGCCACCGATAGTCACATGAAACGGCTTCTTCGTGCAAAAGAGAAACGCTTTGAGCACGACGCAGAGGAAATTTTTAGGCGGACGCTGAAGGGTAAAATTCATGAAATGGACCAGGCGAAGAGGTGGGACATGAAGTTGGTCCGTATTCAATAACTTCATGGAATATTTTTTTCCGTTATGTAAATTAGAAAAACAAAAACAAAAAAAATTTCTGACCACTTATTTTCTGCTTATTGTATTGCGATTTGTCTCAAAAGCAGAGAGGAGTAAACAACGGAAGTAAGGCAAAAGTCAATTCAACCTGTCTGCATGGTGTTGTTGTTCCCCCCGCTCCCCTTTTTATTTTGTATTTTACCTCTTGTTGTTGATGTTGTGTGTATGCTCATGTGTTGGATGTATTTATGTATACATACATGCACAGTTGCACGTACTGCGTGAGATTTCTCTCTCTCCCGTGGAAACAAGAGAGGGAGGGAGAGAGATGTATAGATGAAGTACTGTTGCTTGGCCTCTATCCCTCTGTCTCCGTTGTGCACGGTGTTTGCATTCCGGCTGTCTCTACTACCGTGGTTTAGTTATAGGATAAGGTGTTGCGGCGCGGTCGTGTTGAGCTCAGGTGTGCGCCGGGAGTGAGGAGTGAGGCGGGTTTTTTTTATTATTATTAATTAATATTATTGCGTAACTTGGGACCAGGTGAGGCGTTAGTTGTTATTGGTTTTTTTTTGGAGAGGGGGGGAGGAGGGCGTTGGCCTCTGGGATCCATGAGAAACGACCATGAAGAGTCTCACGAGCCGTTTGCGAGAAGAGGCAAGAAGGAAAACGGCACCGCCCAGAAAAGGATTGATATGGCAAGGTTACCAACGTCCCACAGTTGCCGCCAAATGACCGTCATGTCTCCCTCTCCACCGGTGGCGACTTCCGCAGCACGGGTGCGTGGGGCCACCTCCAAGCCGATCCCATCCTTTCGCCTTCCCGACCAGAGCTGCCTGAATGTCGCGGTGCCCGATCGCGTGACGTTGGTTCTGTCGACAGTGACACCGCCACGCTGCCGCGTGGACTTTACGGTGTGTTTGCACGTATACGACCTGAGTGGCGGTCTCGTTGGCCGGCACAGTCAGGAACTCTTGGGATTTAACGTTTCAGGTATCTACCACAGTGCGGTGGTCTGCTACGGAATGGAGTTTTTTTTTGGAGGTGGAATAGCCGCCATGGGCGCTGGCCACACACGTTTTGGGAAAAGGTACATAACGTTTTTTCTTGGCACAACAACAAAGACGCTTTGCGAATTTATGGCGTGGATTCGTCAGCTCGAGGAGGAAAGGTATCATGCCAGTGCATATGATCTGATAGAGCGCAACTGTCACAGCTTTACCAGCGATGCGGTGGCCTTTCTACTTGGTTCTGCGAGTGCCATGCCGTCCTTTCTCACCACCACCACCGAGCAGCTTTGCAACTCAAGGCTGGGTACAGGCGTGTTGGAGTTGTTGACGTGTTACGCCCCATACGCAAAGTACATCGTGAATTGTGAGCAGCACAAATGTATGATTAAAAAGCAACGCGCTGCGTTGTCCATTGCGATGTCTGCATACGCACGCGAACTAACGACAGGGCCACTACCGTGTGTTGTTCTCTTCCGTGTAGATGACGCTGGCAAGGGTCAAAAAGTTTTCGAATCGCTCATGCCGTACGTGGAGCAGTTGCAACAACGCGGGAAGCTTGACGAAAACGCCAGGCTAGTCTTGATGTCTTCATTCCTTATTAGTGCAGGTGTTGAGTCGATGGATCCGAAGATTGGCGCAGATTATGCTGATCTTGTTGTTCGTATTTTGATTCACACACATAGAACGCTGTGGGGACCCGTGCTGAATTCTCTGCGTATAGCTCTTCTACACAAGGGAGTTTTATGTGCATGCGTTTCCCATCCAGTTTTCGCTGGTTTACTGGTCACAGGTGCGCGAGATTTTCTAAGCATGACTCCTGACGGCAAACTTGCGCTATTGCGGGTTTTATGTAATTTGTCTTCTAGTTTGCACGGCGCCTTTGCACTGAATTCCAACCGGCATGCTCCTTTGTGGGTGAGCGCCGTTGGACTGGCGTTGTCAGATTATAAAAACGATGCCATTGTTTATACCGGGGCTTCCCTCGCCGTAAATTTGGCGCATGCATTTACCCTGACGTCGCTTCCTCAGGTGTCGCGTGAAGACTTTGTACCCCGTTCGTTTCATTGCATTTGTCGGTTGGTGATAGTTCTTTTCTTTTATTTGCACCACTGGCCTGAGGAGCGAATAGCAGAGGCGGCGATGAACATGATGCTTCTTGCCCTTTTCTTTCTCATGTCCAGCAGTCGTAGAGTTGCAGAATTTGCGGTAGAGCATGGATGTGGACTGAGGTATGAGTCCCTGCTAAGGAGGGCACAGACGAATGAGAGTAAAGCACTCCTTGCTCTTATGCGTGCTCTTGAGCAGAATCGATGCAGTCGTTGCGCTTCTGCAATGGTGTGAGAGAATCTGGAGGAGAGGAGGATGACAGAGTCCTGCGAATAAAAGAGATGAATTTTTATTTTTATGCTGGTGTTGTTGCTGTTGTGGCAGTTTCTACAAATCCTGGTTTAGTAATGACTATTTGTCGTTCTTGTTGTTGCTGCTGTTGATGTTTTGCTTTTAAAAATAAAAAATAAAAAATGAAGTAAAAACTTAAGTAGTTTTTACTTCATTTTTGTTGGAAATATAAAAAAATGTTATGTTTACGCCAAATTGTCGGAGTGCGTTATCGCCACTCCGCTGCAGCTAATGACTGCCTGTGGAGCAAACACGTGGGTGTGGTTGTGTCTGTTGATATGCAATTTGCCACCGTTTTCTTCTTCCTCATTTTTGTGTATATGAAAGAGTGAGTGCTATTGCCGCCTGATCCTTCGGCGTAAAGGGAGGGGCAGCATCGTTAAACATACACAAAAGCAGCACTTTGACGTGTTATTTTTTCATTCTTCTTTTTTTTTTGTGGAAGGGTGAAATGCTGCACGCGGCTGTGAACCCGAGTTTTCCGGCGTCGGGCGTAACGCACTCCCTCGTCGGTCAATTCTCCACCGGGCTTCCTGAGGGGGTGAGGGAGCTGATTCTGTTCAAAAAGAACAACCTTGAGCTCTGGCAGATTCCATGTGGTCGGGAGGGAAAATCCCCGTTGTCGTACGTTACCAGCACGCAGCTATACGCCGCGCCTGTGTCAGTTGCTGCGTGCCGACCGTCCGGTTTTAATGTTGACGTTGTTGTCATGTGCCTCGATGATTTTCACGTGTCATTTGTTCAATACGACCCGGTGTTTATGCGGCTTCGCACCTTGGCTCTCGTGCAGCTAGACGATAGGGAGGTGGTGAATGATGTGTGCCCCTTACATCCCATCATGCGTGCGGATCCGTCAGGTCGCTTTGTTGCCGTATTGGCACGTCGTCGTCACATGTTTTTAATTCCCTTGTTAGGTCTAAATCGGGCCAACAATGGTGATAACGTCAACGGAATTTGTGCTGAGGATGATACTAACAATAACATGAAGGAAACTACAACAGCTATAGATGAGTGGGGTGATGAGGACGACTACAAGGGTTTGGCTACAGAGGAGGATCATTCCATACCACCCGAGGCAACGAAGGCGGCCTGTATACTCCCCGAGGAGCATAACTCCAAGTTTGTGAATACCTCGGATGGGCTACTCTCTGTTGGCTCTCCGTCTATGTTTTCCATTGCATTAACAGCCAACGGTTCCATTCGCTATGTGCGAGACATGCAATTTATTGAGTCTTCTGGGGAACCCATTCTTGCCTTTTTGTGTGAACGACACCCTACATGGGCAGGTCGTGTGAAGTTGGTGGAGTGGCGCACCAAGGCGGTGGAATCCAAAATGTTGTCTTCCCAAGTAGTTTGGGTACAAATATCGGCTACATCGACGTCCAATCAGAAGCTACTCCTCATTGGGGAGGTGGATGATATTCCATACAACGTGACACACATGACTCCCGTTGGACCATTTGCACAGATCTCCTCAGGTGTCGTTTGCTACGGCATTAATACCGTGATGCACGTCACAACAAAACGAGGCTATGGTGTCTACCTGAACAACGGCGGAATGGAGGAGTGTGCAAACGGGAAGTCCTCAGCCATGTCGTTTGGCAAGGTGAGTTGGTGCGATCCACATATGGAAACCTCAACGGCTCTCTTTAAAGTCAATCTCTCCTTGGCAAACTGCACGGCGGCCTCAGTGGGCACCACAAATGGGATGCTGCAGTTACTTGTCGTATCGGAGGAGGATGGGGTGGTGCTCACACTTTGTGTTGCATCACAGGGCTCCTCCGTGCAAGGCATTCACATTGGTGTCCTGGGAACTGGCTGCTACTGCTCAAGCATTTCTCCTATCGGAAACCAAATTTTCTTTTTGGGATCTGTGTGCGGCGATTCCTGCCTTGCCAAAATTGATGCGTTTCACGGCGAGGTAGCAGAACGATTTCGGATCATAGATCGTATGGAGGCCGTTGGTTGCATCGCGGATATTGACGTCGTGGACTGTACTTCGGTCGCTGAAAACGGCCTGAGTCAACTTGGCGGCGTCAATGGCCCCTCCCTGGACGACGTGCCGTACGCGGAGTTATTGCGACGCACAACACTTGAGCCTATGCCAAGTGTGTCTATCGCGGAGTGTCGGGAGGTCATGGATTTGGCTGTATGCGCTGGTCGTGGTGGGAGTGGTTTTCTTTACGTGATGCGGCAGTCCGTCCGGAACAATGTGTTTCGTAGGGAGAATGTGAATGCGGTTTCTGCATTTTTCCTGGAATATTCTCATGTTTCCAAACGTTCGCGTGTTGAACGTGAGAGGGTGGAAGGCACCACACACCTTCCACTGCATCTATCATCACCTCATTTACTTCTCACCGGGCTTTCATTCACAATTCTTTTCACCGTACGTGGAGAATCCATACAGCATGTGCGCCGCTCAGAGTTCCTTACGGGGTATCGAACGGTGTTTGCCACCGAAATTCCATGGCTGAATGCCTTGTTGCAAGTAACGGAACGGGAGGGACGCATAATATCTTGCGATGGAAGAAATTTGCTGCAGAAGTTTACTGTTGTGCCAGAACGGGAAGTGGGTAAAAAGCGACTTGTAAAGTCTGCCTCTCTCATGGCGGATTGGATGTCACTGTTCGTTCTTGTGGAGGATGGGACTCTTTTGCGGTTTTCGCTGAAGGAGGCGCAAGCGACCCCCACCAAGGAGGTGTTCGCAGAGGGTGTTACAGCCTTTGCGCTGTGGCAGGAGCAGCGGCGGGTAGTGACATTTTCCACGAATGGAGCTATGTTTATCAGCGAGGTGGAGTCCAGCGAGACGCACGCAGCCTTCCCGCAGTTTGCCACCTTGCCGCCTTACAGCTTCCTTGGTGAGGATGCATCAACCAAAAGCATGGTTGGTGATGAAACTTTCTCTTGTGTGGCTCACGCTGAGGTGGTGGCGTTGCGCGACGGAGACACCGTGGAGGCAACATCTCTTGTTGTCATTCTCGCTAACGGTGAGCTGGCAGTTTATAAAGTCATGTCCGCCGACACATTTGGTCCACTCCGCCTAACGAAGTCAATGCATCACTTTTTAGATAATAAAGCAGAACGTGAGGTGATTGAGTCTATTGAAATGAAAAAGCAACGCTTGCAGCGGGAACGTGCGATGATTGAAAATGATACTCAGTTGATGCGTCAGTACAGCCGCCGTATTGTTTCTTTTGATGCTATCGGTGGGAATTCAGGGGTATACGTTTGTGGACAACATCCATTATTTCTTTTCTGGGACCTGCGGACGCGGGAACTTGTGGCGTACCGTCACCAGACATTAGGGCCTGTACGCGGTTTTGTGCCTTTTCCACTAATACCGTCGGGATACGTGTACTGCTGTGAAGGGTTTGTGGACTTTGCCTCTATGAATACATATTGCCGGCCAGGAGGGCAAGGATGGTTGACCCGCCGGATTCATCTTGGGGTGACACCGCATTTTGTGGTGTATCACCCACCGGCGCAAAGCTGTTTTGTTGTGACATCGATGAAGGAACCTTTTCGACCACAGCGCGCTCCATTTGACGTTCATCTAAACATTGTCTATGATGAAGAGGGTGGTGGCGTTCAAAGCATCACAACTGAGGTGCCTGCATGTAACATGCAGGCTGTTGCCCCTGATGCGGGTGTTCGTGTGCCAATGGTGGACAGATTTGAGATTCGCTTAATGTCTACCACGGACTGGTCTTGCACAGACACACTTGTCTTGGAGGAGAATGAGCAGGTGTTGGGGGCGGAAATGATGGAGATTCACGCGGAGAAGGATGTGGATGGTGTTCATACGGCACCTGTCTGTGTGGTGAGTACGGCCTTTCCCCTTGGGGAGGATGTCACATGCCGGGGCCGCATTCTTATTCTTTCAACAATGCGGATGGATAAAAAATGGAAAATACTTCTTTTTCATTCGGAACCACTCAATGGACCAGCCACTGCTGTTGTGGGGATCTGTAAGCACATTGCTGTTGCCGTGGGTGGAACAATCAAGCTATTTCGTTTTGATTGGAAAACCCGGAAGCTTGTAGTAGGAGCTCTGTTGTATGCAGAGATGTACGTCACGCGAATGTCGTCTTTTCGCAACTATCTCATTTATGGAGATTTATCCAGATCCTGCGCAATTGCTCGTTTTACCGAGGCGAATCACACGCTCAATGTGCTTGGAAAGGATCGCAACGTCGTGTCGGTGGTGCATTGTGACATGATGTACCACGATCGTGCATTTGGCATTTTGTGCTCCGACGATGAGAGGAATCTGCTGATAATGGGTTACACGCCGCGTGTGCAGGAGACCGAGGCGGGGAGACCGAACAAGGTGCTCGAGTCGGTGTTGTCGCTTGACGGCGAATACCGCCTTCCGGGGGGGTGCCTGGTGAAGTCGTTGCGTTTCCGCTCCCTCGCCGGAAACTCCAGCGTCACGCTTTACGCCACTAACTACGGCGAAGTTGGCTTTATTGTGCCGATTGGCGAGCAGGCAAATAGGACAGCTTCATGGCTGATGCGTCGGCTTCAGATGGATCTGCCGCACAGCGCGGGTCTCACCCCCCGAATGTTTCTCGGCTTGAGTCAAGGCTCGCTGCGGACGGCAATGCGGGCAAAGGAGATGCTCGTGTCTGCCGCACTGCTGAACGAGTTCTTTTTGCTTGACATTCCCACGCGGAAGACAATTGCGTCTGCCGCGTACACGCAACTGGAGCGTGTTATTAACGTCGCAACACTCATTTACGAGGAGTGTAACTTATTCTAGCCGCTCGCCCTCGCCCCTCTTTTCTTTTTTTGTTGGTGGTTGTTGTTTCTGTTCATTTGCTCAGTCCCGACTTATTTTATATGAACAAGAAGAAAAGGGCAGGAAGCGAAAAAAAAAAAAGGTGTGTGTGGGGGGTGGGGGTGAGGGGGGGGAGTTGCATTTGAGGCGTGCAACATGAGCGAAATTGTCGCGTGAAAATGACTGCGGAGCTGTGAGATAATTAGTATATTTTTTTTTTTTTTTGTTTTGCTTACGGGTGCTGTGTTGCGCTTTCTCTCGTAGTTGGCTGCGAAGTAAACCTGGGGTGCCCTTCTACCGTTGTTTCACGACCCCTGATGGGTTCCTCTTGCCTCTTCTTGTCGTTTTCTCACAGGGACAGGTGGAAAGAAGGCATTGAAGAACAAATTTCACGCGAGCACGCATCTTCCTCCCCCAATCCCTTTGTGTCTCTATGCGTCCTTCTTCGCGCGCCCTTGCAGCTTTACTCCACCACGCTGCCGTATTTCAGCCCCATATTCATTCCTCTCCGTGCGTTATTTGTGACGCTGCGGTGACGGCAGCAGCAGCATCTCAAGACGCGTGTGGCATTTCGCCTCCAAGGGTACTTTCTCCGCCTACAATTTCCGCCTCCGCGCAGGCCGTAACGCATTCCATCGTGAACCCCACAAGCCAGGGATGGTCCACCACCCTGGAAAGACGAAGGGAAGGTTTGGAGTTATGGCTGCAGCGACGCAAAGAGTGGGTTGAGAAACAGCATGGGATGGATAAGTTGCGCCTACAGAACTGCTGGGAGGCCTTCTGCGATTTCACGCGGACGCTGACGAAGGACGACATTGCAGGCACAATCGACTTCCTTGACCAGTTCTGCGAGGTAGAACTGGAGGAAAGGAAGCCCACTGCAACGCCAAGTGGCTCACATTCCATGTACCAAGCGAAGGGGCAACCGCAACACCAGAAGTCAGTCTCAAACAGTCTTTTTCATGGGAAGGAGGGGTCCGAAAATGTTTTCCTAACTTACATTCAAACGTCGATGTCTGCACCAGCGGATATTGAGCGACAAAGACGCTTCCAACGTACAATTTTAGACTTTCGTGAGGTGGCCAATGACCTCGGTTTGCCTTTCTTTGTGTGTTGCGGAACCGCCTTGGGAGCCCACCGTGAGGGGTACTTTATTCCTCATGACAAAGACATTGATGTGGGTGTTTTCTATGAGGACTTGCAGCGCCTCGGTGGGACTGTGGAAGAGGATGCGCAGCGCGCCGTTGTTTCGCTTTTATCACGTGTGGCGCTGAGCGGCCATTTTGTGTTGTTTGACATCTGCGGGGCGGTGGAGAAGGGGCTGGAGCTGCGTTTCTTGCATCATGAGACGCTGGTGGCACTTGACCTGAATGTGTACTACACACCTCTCGCGGAGGATGCGGAGCTCGTCACTCAGAGTGGTCCGTTTATATGGACGGCATCGCACTACGAAGCTGCGGCTTCTCGCCGTCACGGCATGTATCGCTACCGGCACGCACCCTTTTGTGAGTCGCTGAGTCGACTGCCCTTCTGCGACCCCGCTGAGGCTTCACAGGCCGAGGGATTTTTGGTGCCGCCAACGTCGTACCTTGTGGAGTACTTTGGGGAGGACTGGCGGACGCCGCGGGAGTACACGTACACGGAGGCTCTGCGGAATGGGGAGTACAAGAACATCGTTGAGGAATGAATCCACCGATGCCGCGTGCAAGGGAAGCAAACATACACACCACAATTTGCTAAAACAACACGCGTAAATGGTAATTCAACGAGGAGGGAGGGGGGGGGGGTGCTTCTGCCACGCAGAGCGGCATCGATGATTTCAACAGTGCGGCAAATGCCGGCTGAGACGTGTGGTGTGTGTGTGTGTGTGCCATATGAAAGGTACAAGCCGAGGCGACAAGTAAAGAATGAAAATGTTGTTGCTGAAGTCGGAGTGGGAGTGTATGAAGTGCCACATTTTTTCTCTCTGTCTCTTTGTCTGTCGTTTTTTCTTTCCTTCCTTTCACACAAGCAGCCACACACGACAACCACTACACCAATAATAACAACATAGTTTGGTTGGGAAAGGATAGTTAAGGGATTCAAGCGCAAATTAACCAAATCCCGTAGTCGAGAAAGACCAATAAGACGAAACAAACGCAACTAAAAGCGACTAAAAGCAAAGCTACGATATCTCGTCACAAGGTCACCACGACGTTATGTCAAACTTTAATCCCGATACACCTCCATTTATTCCGACGTTTCTTCGTCAGCCTGCGAAGATTGCGATGGGGGACGAAGGGCGTGGTCATGTGTCGTTAGTCCAACATCGTGGGTGCCCCCTCGTATTCCTCATCTTTGGTTGTCGTGGAGCGGGGAAGACGACACAAAGTGAGCGCCTCGCGAAGGAATACAACCTGCTGCAGATCTCCTCTGGAGATATTTACCTGGAGAGAAAGCAACCATTTGTTGAGCTACGAAAAATACTGTTAGAGGAATTTGGTGAGGGGAAGGAAAGACGCTTTAATGGCGTTGTACTCGATCGCTTTGTTGCGATCAGCGAGTTTGATGCCTTCTACATTCAGTCCGCCTTGGATGCCGTTAAACTTCCGGTTCCGTTTGTTTTTGTACTTGCCATTGACCCAGCATTGGCGGCGGAGCGCGCAGGCATGCGTAGGGACAATAAGGTTGCCTACCAATATTGGCGTGCGATTGAACAAAAGGCACAAACCGTCACTGGAAGCGCCGTCTATGCCCCAATTGGGTGTTTAAAGACAGTCCGCGTCACAAAGGAGAAAACAGTTGAGGACGTCTTTGGGGAGATCAAGACCACCATTCAAACGCAATTGCCGGTTAATCCTAAGAGTATCAAACTTCCTCCTGCAGCCCGCTGTGAGGCGAAGGGAATGAAATTGATTGACAATTATGAAGACTACATGGAACTTGTTGTGGATGTTCATGCAGCCGTGGGAAATGTGTCGGGGCGAAGAGACACGGCCCCCTTATCTACCATTGGTGCGTACCTGGATAAGGAGTACTTCTCATTTGGTCACAAAAATTTGCGTTCTTTGTTGTCAACGTTTCATGTTACCTTAAAGGCAGATGGGCAACGTTATTTGTTTGTAAAACACAAATGTTACGGCTACATTGGATTTCCTGCCGCGTTCACGCATTGCTATGATGTGAATAAGCTATTTGAGGGAGTTGAGATGAGTTGTGAGGTTTCTCCAGAGTCACAAAAATTCATCACAGATAAGAAGGGGCATGACCGGGCGGTGGAAATATTATTTGACACGGAGCTGGTGATTCGTGACGGTAACCCGGTGTTTTACGTTCTGGACTACTTGTATTTGGGCGGCTTGGAGGGGAAACAAATGCGATTTGAGGCCAGACTAAAGGTACTTAGGGACTTCTTTGGTCGTCTGGCGTCGGCCACGAGTGCTATTTGCTTAAAGGACTACGTTCCCATCAACATGTTGAGAACGCTTATGCCCAAGTGGCAGGAGGCGAAAATTCCCATAGATGGTTTGGTGTTTCAGCACGGTGACGTTTACAAGATTGGACGCGACAAGTTTCTTGTGAAGTGGAAGCCCGTCGAGCATTGCACTGTAGATTTCCGCCTGGCGAATGGGGTGCTGGAAGGGTCCCAGTGGATCTTCGAACTCATGGTGACAGACGACGTGTCGGAAAATCGTGGGTTTGGCGAGATCCCGTACGAGGGTGCTCGCGCCACCATTCCAGCAACGGTAGTGCATGAAAACCTCCTGTGCAATGGCATAATTGTTGAATTGGAGCTAATGTGTGGAAAGGGGGCAACGGAGGGGGAAGCATCACCTGCGGCAACGCGGTGGTCCTTTAGGGGCGTACGCAACGACAAGCCTTCTCCGAATAAGTATAGCATTGTCAAAAAAATTGTGGAGCTGAAGCACTTGAGTCTGGAGGAGCTCGTTGAGTTGTGTGAGAAGATTCCGTTTTACGGCTCTAGCTGAGAATCGTGGTGTCACACGACATATTTGCACGTCCACATCCACACACACACACACACCCACAGCTGGACATGCATTGGATGAGAGAGGACGGAGATGTGGTATGGGAATGGAATAATAAGATGGGAAGGAAAGAGGTAGTGGTGGAGAGGGAATTATCTGTTCCTCCATATATATATAAAGTCAATTCAGCGCCC